TTGACTCAAAGGCAAGAATAAATCCTTTCTTACCTATTCCCCACTTATATTTTTAACAGCATAGCCGTCAAAACACAGCAAATCAATTTTTCCCCCTTACTGTCTCCACTCTGCCTTTTCAGATTATTTTTAGTTGTTCTGATTAAAAATTTACCTCTTAAGTACACTGAGGACACAGTGCATGTCTTGATTACAATTTTGTATAACTTTTTCAGTCTACCTATGTATCTTCCTTGCAAAGAAAGAAGTGGAGCCATGTCTTTCCTTACTTCCATTATCTTTCTAACAAAACAGAAATATTAGTAACTAACTTTGAAGGACCAATAGGAAAATAACCTCACAGCAAAATGCAGAAAATACATTTTCAGAATGACCATGTGAGGCCATCACATGTGATGGGATTACACAAGATACTTTACACAAGAGAAACATGGCATGCTAAATTGAAAAACACACTTGCAGGTCTTGCCCAAAGCAAAGATAGACAACCTCAGCATTTCTGTATTCTGTCTTTGGTGTTGCATTGTAGGAGACAAGTTCTCACCCCTGAACTCTTATCTCTCTCTGTGCTCTTCATCAGGGACAATGTGGGTCAAAAATGTCTTGTGCCACTTCTATCACATATTCTACCATGTGTGATTAACCAGTACTTCCTCTATTACTTTGTCCAGATATGCTTTAATTACCATCCCCAAAATTCTACATGTGTGCAGCCACAGTACTTATCTGAATGTCACCAAAACGTAAAACTGTACGAATGAAGGAATGTAAATCCCTCTTCCTCGGATTCTCTGCATTGATCTGCTTATTCATAGCAGGCAGAGACTTTTCTACTTTTTGACTGCCATTCAGCCACCCTTTGTTTTTTCCTGTGAAAGCTGTTTACTATCCATAACTGGAGAAGTCTTGACTACTGAAAAAGAGATTACTTTCTAATTTAATTTCTGAAGGTCATTCATATTGATTAGACAGCTTAGACTAGTTGAGTAGTAGAAGGCCTAAACTTAAAGATATGGAGTATAAAACAGCCATTGCAAAAAGTAAGGGAAACACCCCTTTCTTTTCTTCTTTTAGTATCAATATAGTCCAAAACATTTTTTTTTTTTGGCAAATGTTTGTTCACTAAAATGTTCCAAGGGGGAAAATGTCAGCTACAAATCCTCACTCATTGTGTATTTGCACAGCAATGTTTAAAGGTCCTTAAAGATCTCCAAGGATTTGAAAGAAATAATTCAGTCAGGTAGCAAAACCAGTGCCACTGCCTTCTGTGTCTGGTTACATGGCTCATGTGGCATCTGACAACTCCAGGCAAGTCACAGTGAACTCACTTCACACATCATGCATGAAGTAATATATTCCACTATCCAAATCTATGAAAGTCTGTTTGAAGCTAATGCATCAAGCAGAAACAGCTGCAATACACAGGATGGACTATGGAAAACATTTTGCTCACTGCAAAGAGACACTTATTCTCTGCTTGTCTTACAGATGGCCTGCTCCTGTTCTTGCCAAAACCACCACAGTTTCACTCAGTTTCCTTGGCACTTAGAAAAGTCACAACTTTTTCCTCACATATGCTGGGTGATTATTTACATACCTGAGTAACAGGTGTGTTACAGCCGTGTTTTGCATTATTCATCTTGCATGAAGTTAAACCCTGACTGTGTGACATATCACACATTACTCAGTTTACCTCAATACTGTGTTTTGATTTTGCTCAGTTAAGTTTACCTAAGATGCATTTAGGCTGGAACAGTTTTTAATTACCCCTGGCACAGAAACTTGGCATTCTCCTAAATTTGTGCTTTTCAGAAATGGGACTCCTTTCTGCTGTATCTTTAAATTACTAGCGCTTCCCTAAAAGTTGTCTCAATATTATTACCTTACAAAGCAGGTAATCGAGATTGACTTGGTTTCAGGCATCTCTTCCTTGCTTAAACAATTAATTGTCCCATGCTTTTTCCTGCCCCCACATTCCTTTTCCCTGTAGAGAAATACCAATACACACCATACTGCAATGGACTGCAGAATGGGTATCAGTCCAAAGCCCAGTGAAATCTTGAAAGGTTTTAGAACCACCGAAAAGGCAACTACACAGTATTACACAGGCAGCCTCTGTAAAGGATCTTAATTTAAAGACCTCTTTTTGTGTTATAAATTAGTTTTATTTGTGTAACATTTTCTATCTTCAGATCTTTATAGTCCAATAACTAAGAAAAGCAGTTTAAGAAGGAAAATAAGACTACAAAATGTCCTAATTTCTCATGAAACTGGTATTTTTAAAGGATTAAAAAAATCTGAATTTTGAATTCTAGAAATGTTTAAATACAAGCATGAACTTAATAAGCTGCTTGTAAGTAATTAACATTTAAAACATCAGCACTGCAGTTTTTCCAGTCCTAGACACTTCTCTCCCATCCTCCACAGCAGATTCACTAAAAATTCAAGATAATGATTACAAGTACCTAGATCTGTAACATACAGATCCATAGCAACGCTGAGGATCTCTTATGTTAATTTCCGTGCCCAGAGGCTTTAATTCAACACTGAATTAAAGAAGCCACTGTATCATTCCCATAACAAGATGATTATTTAGGAATTAAGACTAAGTAGAAAACTCTTTTCAAAATGTCAATCTTCCAAGGCCTTTAAAAATCAAACAAAATTACTTATGTTGCTTATATCATCAGTTATCAAAAGTTACACATCTGAACACATCCTGTTCTAAAAAGAAAGGTAAAGTAACCACTATGTTTTAGTCTTCATTTATGATTCCTTGTCAATGCAGTAGATAATCTCCTTGGAATTACTCATTTTTAATGGGACATATGAAAAGATTTCTTTTACTGTTGTTGCAGGCAAAAAAACCAAGAGGACTACATCACTTATCCACAATCCATTAGCGTCACCTCTCAAATTCTTCAGATGTAAAAGTAAGACATTTTTCCTCCTTAAAGTGTCAAAACATATTTGGATGTCTGCTGAGTGAGGTTTAAACGGTTTAGAGAACAAAACTAGTAAAGGTCCTAAATCTGTGTGACAATTCTCTGTGAGCAATCAACCTTCCCATCTACTTGCAGAAGTCACAGAGGGAACCAGAGGTGTATTCCTTGAGGAGGAACAACTGTCATCCCTGGAATATGTTCTGCAGGTATCAAAGCATATCACAGGAAAAACACACATAGTAAAAAACCAGAGTAGTGAATCCTGTCCCTACCTCACCACTCTACTAGTATGGAAGGCAATATTCCCAGCAAAGAAGAGAAGCACAACCTGTGAGTTGAGCCTGACTGATGCAGTGCTGCTGGCAGGCTGTCACAGTGTATGTGGATTTCTCCAGTAAGATGCTGAGAGTAATCACAGAATAATACTGCCACTGTTTGAGGAAGCAGGGAACAAGATTTCTCCAAACTTTCAGACTTGGAAGAGCTGCTTGCACTACACATAGGATTTTCCCCTAGGAGATGATATAACAATGAAGATAATTGCTGGTTTGGTATCACTGAGGAGAATGTAGAGAAAAAGTGGCAATGAGCACGGAGGTGTTACACATACAATAAATTTTTGGCATGAATGAATGGAGGGACCAGTTCCAGAAAGGGGCTCAACAACCCAGTTTTACCAAAAAAATGTTGATTGTCCTGTATCAGAACCATCATGATAGAAGACAGCAGGATCTGTGTGCAGAGCCTTCAGTGTCTACCTACTTGTGCTAACTGATAATACAGTGCACTCCAAGTGACAATAAGAAATTACCCATATGTGCAATAAACTTGTTTCTCAATTTCCCTGAAAGATATAATCTGTTCTTTACAATGAAAAGTACTCATTACTTTACCCTAACCTGTATTCCTCTTCTGCACACATCGTCTTGAGTAAAGGGTTAAGATCCCTTTGCATGATTTGCATGTGAAAAAGACTCAAGAATTAATGACTCCAAGCTTTAAGATGTCCACACAAATTTAATTTCCATTTCTGTTTCTTCATACAACACAGGCTCATATAACACTACACAAAAAGGGTAAAGAGGAAATAACCCTCAAGAATTATCATCCCCTGAAATGCCATGAAAACTAGGCCATAGAACAATCTATTCAGCTGGTCTGAATCACATATCAAATTGAAAAGAACGAGAGTTAAATACTTGGATGTAGAAAGCAGAAAAAAAAATCTACAGGTGTTGGAGAACAATATGAAGTATTTTCCTGTTATTATCTGCCTTCCTACAGCACTTGAAAAAGTCTCAAGACAAATTATTTTAAACCTCAGTTTTAGAAAGCTAAATAGCCAGCAGCTTTTCTACTTCTTGATTTGGAAACACCAAATTGAAAACAGTACATATGTAATAGCTGATGCTTGCCGGTTTTGAGGCAACTTTTATTACCAGTTGGACAAATACCCTGTGCACTCCCTGGTCATGTCAGTGCTGCTATACCCATATGGTGTTCTGAAACCTGAGCAATTGTTCAACAACATATAAATAAGTGTCAGAAAGAAATGAGCAAAATCTTTTTTTTTTTTCTTCCAGTTGAACACCAACAATAGCATTCTGCAACAAACCATTATTAGCACTGACATTGTAGTAAAGGTCTACTAGTGTGTCAGGACTAGAAGAAGAAAGGAAGAGAACAAGGAAGCAAACTTCATTCACTTAGCAGAGAGCAGGACTAGAATGTCAGACACACTACGGACAGGAGTGCCACGCACTGCCAGATGTACCGAGGAAGGCAGTTGTTCACTGTTGCTGTCAAAACCTGAGCACAAAGCATTGGGGTAGACTGAATATCAGAAGCTCAGTACTAGTGGAAAACTGAAAAATAGGTAGTATTTATTTTAAGTAAAAAGTTGGGGTTTTTTTGCTGCAGGACAGTTTTGGAGCTAAAAAAAATGAAATGTGCAAATATTGTAAGAATCAAGAACTTCTTGGTATAGAGAACTACAATATCCACAAAATATTTATACTATGACCACAGAAAAAAGGTGTTAAAATTTTCACTTACTTTGGATGGGCAAATTCATCCAGTAGGACAACCTTTTCTATCAAGTCTCCACCAATGGTTCGAACCAAATCATAGAAATCATTCTGAGAGTACGTCTCAGAAGGCAGCCAGAAGGAGATGTCATTGATCAAAGGTGGATATCGGCTGAGTGGCTGAAAGAAATTTAAAAACATACCTTTATACATGGTTGGACTTGATAACTATACCTACAACTATTCTGAACTTATATAGCACACAAAGTACACAGTTTAGAGGCTTTCTGAAATGGTCTTTGAAGGGCAAACTGACCTCATAAACAACTGAGACAGAAGATTTTACACTAGGAAACGTCTTTTAAAGATTCCCTCATAACAACTTTGGTTTATTAATTCACAAGAAAAATCTTGGTTTTGTTTGATAAAAACAGTGTTTATGACCCTGAACACACTTTTGCAACAGAGCTGCTTAGAAGGAAGAGATAATATTAGGTGGTTTTTCACTGGGTAGAATTGCACTTTTTAAAAGCATTTTCCAGACTTTTTGCAGATTCAAAACTTCCTGTCACATTCAGATATAAAATTTACATGCATTTTTTAGGATTCTTATATTCCACAACATATTTATTATTTTTACTGTCAAATTTTTAACAAAGTCTTATAAATAGGCACCTTCTTATTACAATGTTTCAATAAGAAACACACTTTGGCTTAAAAATATGGATCAGTTCACTTTCTGGTGGTTTTTGTAGACATCCAAACACCTACAACAACAAAAAGTTATGGCTGTTAACATAGTTATTCATTCCACAACTACCAGAACAGGCTTTTAAACACAAAGGGGAATCTTTGCTGCACACACAGAGTGGGCAGACAGTGTAACTTGTTATTTGTAAAAATGAGAAGAGAAAGAGAAATGAAACCAGTTAACTAACTTTTCAGTTTTTATGAAACTTCCCAGGACTCTGTGGGTTTCAGACCTCACCTCTGGTGAAAAGTTTCACCCTTTGAAGAATAGAAAACGGTAACATTCTCCTTTCATAACCTCTATGTTATACAGTATCTTACTTCTGCTTTGCATTAATTCCCTGCAGTTGAAAAAAGTACTTTTGCACAAGATTGTTGGAGTCTGTAGGAGAAAAAAAATCTATTTTATTATTTTCTTTATATATACAGGAGATTTCATGTGTACACCCTGATCTATACAATATAATATCTCACTCAAAATGTATTCCATGGCTGGGAATGTTTTATGATTGAGCAGTGGAAACTTAAGTGAGCACCTGCTAAAGCAATAAACCTGTTAATAAGGCAAGTTTACAGCATTCTGATTTACTCAAATACTATTCTGTAGAGTGAAACTAGTCAATAAATGTCTGATAAGGAATACAGTCCAAGTTTTAAATAAATAACACCCCTAGCAAATAAAATTGTGAATCGCAAATGATTATTGAACTTGTTAAATGAATAAACTTGTCAAATGAATTCATATTCTGTACGTCAAATTAAAAAAAGGAAACTTGCACAACAAATCCATTGCAAAAGAGCTTTTGATATAACACTAATGAATGAAATGCAAATATCTCTGCTATACAAAAGTCACAGCAGCAAATGCTGGAGATGCTCCTCGGACAACATTCTGATACATGTGTTAGTGCAAATAAAGTTATAATTCTGCAGTAGACCCTTATATTCTCACCTCATTCCTATCTAGCACTTTATTTACCACTGCTATAGCTCAGGAATATACTAAACACCTTTCAAAGCTAGGTGGGACTAATAGAAAACTCACTGAACTCACAGTTCAAGACATTTAATCATTCAACCAGAAGATGTGGCTCATGAGCCTTAGCATGATGAAGGCACCTACTTTCATTCACACAGGTACAAGGACAATGAGGAAAACTAATTACATGTTCAGGTAACTCAGAAATGTCCTGAGCTGGTTTTGGCAAGAATTAATTGTCTTCACAGGGGCTAGCATGGGGCTGTGTTTTGGATTTGTGCTGTAAACAGGATTGGTAACATAGAGATGCCTTTGTTACTGCTGGACAGTATTTGCACAGAGCTAAAACCTTTTCTGCTTTTTGTAATGCCACACTGTCAAGAAAGCTGGGGAATTTGGGAGGAGACACAGCTGGGACAGGTGACCCCAAGTGACCAAAGGGATATTCTAGACCATATTACATCCTACTCAGTATAAAAAGTGGAAAGGAGAGGGAAGGGGGAATATGTGGAGTGATGATGTTTGTTTTCCCAGGTAGCTATCACATGTGATGGGGCCCTGCTCCCCTGGAGATGGCCTGCCCATGGGAAGCAGGGAACTAATTTCTTGTGTTTGCAGCTTTTTCTTTCCACTGTCACTAGTGTGGATACAGAACTTTTGTAATTTTGTGTGTGTATGCTTGTGTGTGTTGCAAAGACAGGAAGGACAAATGTTTAAAACATAACATAAGCATAACTTTTTATTATTAGCTACTAACCTTTTCTCAGAGCCTTGTAATACAGAAAAATCTTTTATGGTAAAAGGCAAGGCAATAATCCCATATTATATTGTCCCTTCACCACCTGGCTGCAGTCAATATCATTGCAGTAAGTCTTATATCAACACTAAAGTTAGTATAAGGATAAAATTCCTAGTTCTCAAATGTATTGATCTGTTTGTTGTAGAGCTCCATGAGTCACATAATAGTTTATTAGCTACACATAAAATGTGAATAGGCTACTAAAGTGTCTCCAATTGGCAAGCCAAAATGAAGTTCCTAAATTTGTATTCAGGCACTCTTACAAATACATACTGTACTCCAACAGATCACTTTGCCATTCTTTGATCCTTTCTAAACTCTCCTGCTCTTTAACAGCAGACTGGTCCAAAGTATTTCGACTGATCCTTTTTCAAGTTCAAGACAAATGCCAACCCTGGAAACCATTTCCTTATGAATTTACAGACATTTCAAAGGCTCCCCTTGAGAGTGTGTTCTTCCCACTAAATCCTCTACTCTGCTGTCGCCTCCAGCCACCACTTCCAGCTACATTCTCCTCATGGCTCAGGAGTCCTCCAGCACAATGCTTAGAGAAGCTACCAGGACACATCTGGCTCTGCAGGCTGTGTGTTGGCTGAACACAAGCCTGGAAGCCCTGCTGCTCCTGCTTCCACGCCCTGATCACTCCCTTAGGTTTTTGAGGAACTGAAAATGTTAGCGTTCAGAAACACACATAATTACAGGATGTGATTATATGCAGGTGCTTTTATTAAGAGCTCTGGGAGTTGGGGTACAAACCCAAATCTGACTCCGACATGGCTTTCAAGCTGAACGTATTTTATATTCTATCGTTACATAACTTACACATTAATTATTAAACTTATATTGTTCTGTTGTATACATTGACATGAGTTTCTCGTGATCTTTCTTAGGTCCCTGACCACAGTTTCTCATGATTATTCTTATGATTAAACAGTAATTATATTTAATTACTAAACAATCATCACATCTAACAATTATATCATTTATCATGTACTAGCTACACAGTGCAGTTCTAGCAAGTACTAGTTCTTCATGCGCTCAAGGTATTTATTTTTCCAGGGCCTACTAAGCTTATTTTCCTGTTAACCCTAAATCCCCATGATTTTAAAACCCATTTACTATCAAAAAGAGGTTTAGGAAATGGCAGAACTGATCCTACCTGCAGGGTGCTGCTGCAGGGCACAGGCCAAGTGTGTCCATAAGGACTCCTGATGCACAGATATCCCTGCACCCCTCTTGTTGGTTACATCTTGTTTGCCCACCACAGTGCTACTTTAAATGTTCTGTTCACTTTCTGTTTCAAACACTTCAGTGTACTACCACTGACGTTTTTCAATAGCCTCAGAAAACAAATGCTTTCCCAAAAATTACACTATCTATAGGACTCCACTGAACCCATCTTGTAGGAAATTAATGACATCACATTTTTCAATAATCACCCAAAGTGAAAGCATTTAGGAGTGCTGAATTACTATAATTTCTTTAAATAATAAAACAGAAGTTTATAGTGATCCACCCTCAGTGATATATGTTTACTAGTCATTAGTCAAAGTTCTTTCTCTGGCTAATAAATAAGCCAGGTATTTCTTAAAACTGCAAGCTTTTCCCTCTCAGGAAAATTTTAGTATAGAAATGGGTAGTTGGACAGCAGTGCTATAACCTGCTCTGCCAGCCTGCCTTGCCTATGACAACATCTATCTGAGGAGAGCTGTTAGTTTTTCATATGGGCTGTTGATAGTTTAGGGCATTCCTCATCTCTACCTCTCTGCTCTGCTTTTCTGTCTGAGATTTCTGCCCCTACAGCAGCTGATAAAACAAACAAGTGCCTGTTCCTTCACCACTGGCTGCTGTAGCCAGCTGAAAGTTTCCCCTCTCATTGGTTTATGCTAATATGCGTTGGATGAAGAACTGCAGCAGCTCGAGTCATTGGGGGACAGCTGTCTTAAGCAGCAACAGGATCCACCAGAACTCTTGTCAGCATGAAATAGCAAATACTTGGGCTCTGTGTATGTTGACACTACTCTGGATATTTTGGCAGCAGGAATCAAGTGGTCACCATAACAGTGGTATCTATTCATCCACACATAGCAAAGGATCATCAGCTAGGCTGGATCCTTATCTATCTATCTATCTATCTATCTATCTATCTATCTATCTATCTATCTATCTATCTATCTATCTATCTATCTATCTATCGCTGGATCCTCACAGCTGTAAGGGAGAGAAACCTTTCTGAGGGCAGAACCTCATGAGCCTCAGTAAAAACTGCTGGTGATAATGCACAGCCAGTGCCAGTGAATAACCCACACAAGGCCATGAAGTGTCTTTAGCCTGAAGTCCCAAAAAACAGGAGAGACACTAGAACTTTCCACAGATACTTGTCATTAGGGAAAAAAGCCACTTTCCCCCAGATGCAGTAACCACAGGTGCAACGTGGCAAGGGGGCAGAAGAAATTTTGTGCCATGGCTGCTCACTCCCTTCCTTCCCTGCTGCCAGCTGCAGATAGGACAAAACAAACGAGTGACAAACACAGTAGGGGAAAAGGCTGTACTTGTATTTTGACAGTGGTGACACAAATGCAAGGTTAACAACGACACGTACCAGAAACTGGGTTAGCAATTCCACGGCAGCCAAGCTATTAAAAAGTCAGC